GAGTGCTGGGATTACAGATGTGTGTGCCACCAGGCCTGGTTGTTTCTGTTTTATTTTGTTTGAGACAGGGTTTTGCTATGCAGTTTAGGCTGGCCTTGAACTCACTTTGTAGCCCAGGCTGGTCTCAAATTCACAATGATCCTCCTGCCTCAGCCTCCCAAGCACTGGGATTATAGGCATGTGTCACTACGCCCGGCTGTTTCTGTTTTTTTGAGACAGCATCTCACTGTGTAGTTCTGGCTGCCCTTGAAATTGCCAGGTAGCCTAACCTGGCCTTGAACTTGGCAATTCTCCTGCCGTAGCCTCTCTAGTGCTGGGACTACAGGCTTGTACCACCATGCCCTGCCCTGCATTGTAGTATTAATAGCATTAATAAATAATATGTAGACACTAATGATTTAACCAGAAGTTATGATAATATCATATTAGGGAATGTGAGAACACAATAAACATGATGTCAACCAGCTGCAGTAGCACACACCTTTAATCTCAGTACTTGGGAGACTAAGGCAGGAGGATCTCTGTGAGTTTGAGGCCAGCCTGGGCTACAAAGTGAGTTCAAGGGGCTGGGGATTTAGCTCAGCCGCACAGCACCTGCCTGGCAAGTGCAAGGTCGTGAGTTTGATTCCTGGTACCGGAAAAACAAAACAAAACAAAACAACAACAAAAGAAATGAGTTCAAGGTCAGCCTGAACTGCATAGTGAGACCCTGTCTCAAAAAAAGCCAAAAAAATAAAATAAAATAAAAAACTTGATGTCTAGGGCAATACCTCTGCCAAAGAAGATCATACTAAGAGGATGGAGGGAGGGGAAGTGCAATGATTGAGTTATGAGGGAAAAGTATCAGTAGAAAGCCACTTGATGTTGCCTAAAACAAAAAATAGTTTATAACCTAGGTCAATGGTTCTCATCCAAGGCCAATATTGCCCCAGCCTCTCAAGAGACTTCTGGAAATTTCTGAACAGGTTTTTTGTTTTTTTCTTTGTCATTTTGAGACAGGGTCTCGCTATGCAGTTCAGGCTGGCCTTGAGCTCACTTTGTAGCCTAGGCTGGTCTTGAACTCACAACAATCCTCCTGCCTCAGCCTCCTGAGTATGGGGATTACAGGTGTGCACCACCACGCCCAGCTTGAACAGGTTTTTGGTCACAGTGGGGAGGGAGTTAATGACATCTAATAGTGTATTAGTTTCCTATGGCTGCTGTAGAAAATTACCACAAATTTAGTGGTTTAAAATAACACAGACTTATTATCTTACATGTCTAGATTTCAGAAGTCCTGTGTGGTTACCCTGGGTCAAAATCTCAGTATCCAGAGCACTGTGTTCCCTTTTGGAGACCCTTGAGCTGCTAGGCAGAACCTGCTCCTACTTTGCCTTTCAAGCTGCTACCACCGGGGGTGGTGACACACACATGTAATGCCAGCACTCGGGAGCCTGAGGCAGGAAAAGATCGTTGGGAGTTGGAGACCAGCTTGGGCTACAAAGTGAGCTCAAGGCCAGGCAGGTCTTGCACAGTGAGACCCTGTCTCAGAAAGACAACAAACAAACAAACAAAGCTGCTAGAGGCTCCCCATATTCTGTGGCTTCCAATCTCTTGTTTGGAAGACCTCTGAGCCCTGCTTCTGTTTCTATCACATTTCCTCTGCAGTGCCTTGCTCTGCCACTGTTATGAACCTTTGTAAGCACATTGGGTCTACCTGGGTAATTGTGGCACCTCTGCTGATATTAAGGACAGCTGATTAGCAATGCTTTTTTTTTTTTTTTAAGACAGAGTTTCACTGTGTTGTTCAAGCTGGCCTTATTTTCAAATCATAAGTATGTAGCCCAGGGTGGCCTTGAGCTCGAGGCAATCCTCTTGCCTCAGCCTCCCAAGTGCTAGGATTACAGGTGTGCACCATGCCTGCAAAGCAGTGTTATCTGCAGCCTTAGTCCTCTCTTGTCATGCTGCATAAATATTCAGAATTTCAGGGATTAGGAGGTGAGCATTGTGAGGGGGAGTATCATTCTGCCCACACACATGGGTGGAGCCCAGGAATGCTGCTAAACATCCTAAACTGCCAGGAATGATCCTGCAATAGTTAATTGTGATGTTAACCTGAATAAGAAATACCTTGCACATTAGTTGAGCACAATTCTAGGAGTGTCTGGATGATGGATTTACTGAAGAGAGAAGACCCACTCTGCATGTGGGTGGCACCAACCAATAAGTTTGTAGCAGGGATGGAATAAAAAGGGGAAAGAAGGAAGTCTCACTTTTTCTTCTTCAGAGGAGCTCCAGTTTTTATCGCCTTTGGATATCTGTCTCTAGGCTTTCAATGCAGATTGTTCAGCCTTCCAGCACATATTCTGCAGCTGTTCAACACAGACCCTTCAGCTTCCCAATACCACTCTTTCACAGGACTCTGCAGGGAGCCCCAGGTCTTCGATTTTTGCCTGGATCCTCCAGTTCTCTAGCTGCAGATGGCCTTTTTCATTCCTCTCCCTCTGACTCTGCAGGCCATTGTAGGTCTACCCTGTAAATCCTTTATATATTATATATTACTATATATTAAATCTGTTGCTCTGATACAGATCCCCCAGATGCCTACAATGCTAAGGCTGAGGGTTTCTCATCTAAGGTGGTAAATAAGTTATGCTGAGTTCTGATAGGTGGTGGTAATGGGAGATGGGAATCTTTTCTATCTTGTTTGGGGTTTTGAGGACACATTTGTAGCATGCAATATGTAGCATGTTAAACTGTGCACACTCATAGGCCCCCTTTGGCCACCATTTAAAAAAATAGCACTTAAATTTATGATTTGAAAATATGGAAATAAGTACTAGAAGAGGTAGGTGAAAATGTTGGAATCTGTCTTCTGCACAGAAGAACAGAGATATGCAAGGCTGGCACAGAGACAGCTTTACCCCTGTACAGTAGCGTTAGATTTACAATGCATAATACCTAAATAAGAATAATTTAAAACAGATGTGGGTATGTCCCTGTAATGCCAGCTACTCTGGAGACTGAGGCAGGAGAGTCACAGGTTCAAGGCCAGTCTGGGTAATTTAGTGAGATCTTGTCTTAAAATTTAAAAATAGCCAGGCGTGGTGGTGTTTGCCTGTAATCCCAGCACTTGGGAGGCTGAGGTAGGAGGATTATTGTGGGTTCAAGATCAGCCTGGGCTACAAAGCGAGTGCAAGGCCAGCCTGAACTGCACAGCGAGATCCTGTCTCAAAAAAACAAAAAAAATATTTAAAAATAAAGGAAGCTAGGTATGTAGTTCAGGGGTAGAACACTTGCCTGGCAGCCTAAGCCCTGGATTCAATCATCAGTACCACAACAATAAATAAGAACAAAAACCAACGGGAGAGATTTGCTCATTTACTTCATGCTTACTGCAGAGATCCTGTTCAGGGCCAGGGTTTGTGCAAAGCCCTAGCCATGACCAATTAGTTTCTCTCTCTCTCTTTCTCTCTCTTTGTCTTTTTGAGACAGGGTCTTGCTGTGCAGTTCAAGCTGGCCTTGAGCTCACTTTGTAGCTTAGGCTGGCCTCGAACTTGCAATGATCCTCCTGCCTCAAGTCTCCTGAGTGCTGGGATTACAGGCATGCACCACCACGCCTGACCTGACCAATTAGTTTCTAAGAGGAGCTGTTGTGGGAAAAATGAGAGGTGAGCCCCAGGAAGAAAGGTCAGCTTCCATGGGTTACCTGGCCCATCTTTGGAGCCTAGTACTTACCCCAGTGGAGGTTTGGCTCTGACCCCGAAGGCTTTGTCACCAGGCACCCTGAGCTCCAGATGAGGGAGGGTGCAAAGCCCTTCTTATGCATCCTAAACTGTGGCCATGATCCTATGCTTTTTTTTTGTTTTGTTTTTTTCTGGTACTGGGAATTGAACTCATGACCTTGTGCTTGCCAGGCAGGCACTGTGCCGCTGAGCTAAATCCCCAGCCCCTGATCCTATGCTTTGCTCTCCTGGCCCAGCCCTGCCTTTCCATACCCCCAGCTGATGGGCATTCCCTTCCTCTGTGCCCATGCAGCCTTTATCCCTTCCCTGTACCCTGACACCTTTACTCCCTCAGCTTCCCAATACCACTCTTTCACAGGACTCTGCAGGGAGCCCCAGGTCTTCGATTTTTGCCTGGATTCTCCAGTTCTCTAGCTGCAGATGGCCCTTTTTCATTCCTCTCCCTCTGACTCTGCAGGCCATTGTAGGTTCATTATCAGGCCACACATAATGAACAAGATGGGGAACCTGCTGCCATTTTTTAAGCCTCAAGAAGTGGTAGCTTTTCCCTTTGTGAATCACTGTGTTTTTGAAATTTATACATGCTCTTCTTCAGTTTTCCAACTGCCAGTGGACTTCCACCCCAGCATAAACATTTGTTTTCATATTGTTTTGTATTCTCCACGCTACCTCTAGGAGACACCTGAAATCCTCTCTAGCTCAACTGCAGTCCCCTGGGGGTCCTTGGTCCAGAGTGGGCGACACCACTAGGGGACCCTGGCAGCCTGGCTCTGGCCTGCACCACCCGCCCACTACACACTCTGGGTGGCTCTCAAGGACTTGGGGCCTCAGGGGAGCACAGCGCGGGCAGCTCTTGGTGGCCCTGTCCCAGCGGTCCTCCAGGTTACACGCTAGCAGGCAGCTTTCTCTGCATTCCCTGCTTGCACCTCCATCTCAGTGTTTTTCCTGACAGTCTGGGGGTTGGTCAGCCTCTGCAACAGCAACAATGGATCTTGCTACAAGCATTTATTGAGCACCTACTGTGTGCCAAGCCCCACAGCTGGGTTATTAATTCAATAAGATGACAAGGTAGCCACTATTACTATCCCCAGTTTCAAAAGAGGAAACTGAGGCAGGAGAGGTGTTGCACTTTACTCACACAAACACAATCAAGCAGGAGACAGATTTGAATCCAGCCACCAGGCTCCAGGGCCAGGCTCTCACAGGTTCTGGCTTCTATTCAAGAGGTGCCTGCTGCTGGTTGTAAACTTCTCCAGGGGCTTGCCAGGCACCCCCATGGCCCGCCTGCTCCAAGAACAGGTGCTTTCCTTTGTCCCTTACATCCTCTGTGCCCCTGGAGACAGGCATGCCTCATTTCCCTAACCTGAGGCTTTCTGCTAAGACTCTGATTGCACCTCACCCCCACTGTGTAACCCACAGACATTCCAGAACAAATCAATTCTTATGATTTTGGCCCCCCTCCATAGCATTGTTTGAAGGTCAAAATAAGACATTTCAGTGACATTCAGCCAGCTATTCTGGGTGTTGGCCCTTCCATCCTAGAACCATGGCCAAGCCTGTAACCTTGCAGAGAAACACCCCTCCCCCAGCATTGGTGAACACTTCCGTGACTTATATGAAGGCAAGGTTGGCCATATTTCAGCACTATGCCAAGGTTCAGCTGGTTCCTCCAACCCTTGCTAAGATTGCTACAGCTATTCAGGACCTGAAGAAAATAGTAGTGCTCAAACTGGTAACTTCAAGTAGTTCACAGTTAAGGAAGCTGTGCTGAATGATTTGTTACCCACTGAAGTGCAGATGTAGTTTTATGTCAGAGTGAGCATAGGCAAGAATGGCATCATTGGCTATAATGTTCAAAAACCAATCTTGGGGGTTGGGGATTTAGCTCAGCGGCACGGCACCTACCTGGCAAGCACAAGGTCGTGAGTTTGATTTCTGGAACTGGAAACCCTCCCCTAAAAAAAAAAAACCACAACAAAACCAATCTTTAGTCGGGTGCGGTGGCATACACCTGTAATCCCAGCACTCAGGAGGGTGAGGCAGGAAGATTGTTATGAGTTCAAGGCCAGCCTGGGCTACAAAGTGAGCTCAAGGCCAGCCTGAACTGCATAGCAAGACCCTATCTCAAAAAGACAAAAAAAACCCCACAAAACTTTAACATCTAATTATATCTGATTTATTATTTGGGTGTTGTTGGACAATATGTGATCAAAATATTTGTAATCTGGATAAAATGTGTTAAATTTTTTAAACTTTTTTTTTTTTTTTGGTCTTTTTGAGACAGGATTTCACTATGCAATTCAGGTTGGCCTTGAATTCACAGCAGTCCTCCTGCCTCATCCTCCAGAACGCTGGGATTACAGGTATGTGGCATCACACTCAACTCCTAAAAGGCATTTTAAAAATGATCACCCAAAAAGATTTTTATTCTGGAATCTAAAAGCTGCTTGCTGAGGGATGGGGCCAGATTATTTTGAGGGTTAGATTCACCCTGGGCTGGGGGTTGGGGTCAGGAAAGACTGCTTTAGGTCCTGTTCTCTGGTAGAGGGCTATTAAAGCCAGGTGGTCCGGGAGGAATGCTTGAAGGGTCTGTTGAGACTAGGTCTATTTTATTGGAGTCCTGAAGGATGGAGTTTGCCAGATGGAGAGAAAAAAAAACGATGTTCTCAGCACAGAAGTGGGCAAATCACACTTTGTGTGATTGTTTGTTAAGTTCAAAATAAATGAGATTGACTGGCAAAGTGGTGGTGGTGGGACCCATGATGAGAAAGAAAGTAATTAGGGAGTAGTCAGGGCTGGGTGAGGGCTGAGGATGCAGAATGGGCTGCCTCTTTATCCTGGAGGCCTTGGGAGAACCACTGACCCCTTCAGGGAGTACTCCAGATGGCCAAACTTCAGGTTTCTGAGCATCCACCCTGCTTCAGCTGAGAAATCGGTTGGTAAGACAGTTCTTGGGGATGAACCACGTGGGGGGTGGGGTGGGGGGGTGAATGGTGTCCAGGGTTCCAATTAAACGCTCTGTTACCCCACTGGAACTGGGCCAGCCTCCTCCTCTTGGCTCTGCTGGTGCCCCACTTGCAGGACCTTAGGACATGGGAGCATCCCTTGCCTACCGCATCCTGTGCCCTGAGACCAGTAGTCCCAGGATTCCCTCCCAGGCAGCTTACTGG